AAACACATATTAGACAAATTTTTAAAAAATAATATAAAAATTATTCTAAATTTTTTTTTTTATGTTTTCTTGGGTGGCGCGTGGCCAGCATGGGTCCCTCCGGTAATTTGGGAACACGTGGAAATTTGTGAGTGGGATATATATTGAGAACTGAGCCGTCCAGAAAGATTGGATCTACTTAATAATTCGGCCCATACTTCATTATTGGTATGGTAAATGTGGCGATTTTAGGCCCAAAACATTTTAGAGCTATTTATTTTTAACCTAAACTAAAATCCTCTCTTAAAAATGAAAAACTTTATTAAGTCAACTAAAAAGGAAAATATAGTTCTAACTGCACACCAACGTCCTGTTGGTTCGAATGGAAGTAGTTTGGTTCCTTTTAAGTAAGATCTCGAGTTCGAGTATTGTGAATGAAGAAATAAACGTTAGGAGAGCTTCCTTTAAATAGAATTCGACGCGACTTGATTTGAAATTAGTGGAGATCTAATGTGATTACCGGACACCGAAAGATTAGTACAAAAAAAAAAATAGTTCTAACTGCGCTAAATTATATTAGTGTAGTTTGAATTACACTTAATAAAATAGTTGATATTAGTCAATAACATTGATAATGGTGGTCATAACATTAATAAACTAAAGATTCATTTTCAATCCTATCTATATTTAGGAGCCTCCCCATGTATCCCATCTAAAAGGGAAAGATTACAACTACCATTATTAATATTATGACCATCAAATTCTATAAAATAGTCCCTTTTTTAAATATTGATTTTGTTTAATTTAATTGATAAATATTATTTATTTGATTAGTTATTAATTAAAAGTTATAATTATTAATTATTTTTATTAATTAAATTAAACAAAATCAGTATTTTTAAAAGCAATATTTTACAAAATTTAGTGACTATAACATTTATAATAATAGCCATAGCCTTGCCCCATCTAAAGAGGTAGTGTTTTTTAATTAAATATTTGAGAAAAGGGAAAATGAGGAATGCTAGGAGATTTAATAATAAC